CCACCACCACCACCACCACCACCACCACCAAAAAGACGAACAACACCAACCACACCGACAGCAACAAGCAACAGCAGCAGCAGCAACAGCTGCAGCAACGCCCCCCCACCACCACCACCACACCCTCTTTGACCTTCACATCCCCTGCTGCGTGCGGCCCAGGCCCAGACCGAGCCTTGGTCTGGAATTTCCCAGTTGATGTCACCTACAAGAGCACCAACGCTTTCGGGTGGCCGCAGGCGAGCGCGTGTGCGTGCATGCACGCGTGCGAGCGTGGCAGCCGGTCCGCTCAGGCTGGCCCCGACGCGGTGTGCTGCTGCAGGGGCGGGCCCCTGTTGACGCAGATCGCTGCACCCAAGACTAGTCGACGAGAGCAGCGGGCTGACCCGCTTCAATTATGGCAATGTTTATTTCGCCTCGACAGGTGGTGGTCAGCGTGTATGGCGTTGACGCGTGGGGACGTGATGTCATCCAAGGGTACGGCAGCATGCACCTGCCCACCTGCCCCGGCAGGTGCGCGGCTCACCCATCTTGGGTGGACGGCTGGGGTCTTCACTGCCAATGATAATGTTTTGTCAACTCTGTCACAAACGGGAAGCCACGCTCTGGGCAAAAGCGTGGCGATCTAGGCCAGGCAGCAAGCAGGCGCCGAGCAGTGTCTGCCAGATCACCCGTGCGCTCCGCCTGGGTGAGCCGGCCAGCTGCCATCCATACGCCCCGTATCGTGCCCCCTTGGCGCAACAACCGCCCCCCCTTGGCCCGCCTTTTTCTGAAGGTATGAGCTGAAAGTGCGGCTGTACAAGCCCCGGTCTGCGTCGCCGCTGCAGGCGTTCCTCAGCTGGCTGTCCGGCATGCCCGCAGAGTTCGCAGACCACCGCTTCCCCGCCTACGGCTCCGGCCGCGAGGGTGAGGCCTTGGGGGCTGCGGCGGGCTGCGATCCTGCATGTTGAGCCGCTGCCCTCCTTGGGTGCCCGGTTGTGCGCAGGGTGGCGGGGGCGGCGACCTGCAAGTCTTAGATCCCTGATCTGTTGACTGCAGCGCCCGCCAGCTGGCAGCCAAGCCGCGCAGAGGCCCCTGCAAGCGCCGTCTCCACTGTTGCGTGCCCCCGCCGCGCACAGTGACGCGGGTGGCGTCCGGCGGCTGGGTGACTGTGGCGGTCAACATGCTGACCAAGGTGAGGGCACCATTGATGCTTCGCCTTGAGCAGCTGCTGCTGCTGCTGCTGCTGCTGCTGCTGTTGCTGGCACCTATTTTCTGGTCAGGGCCGCCAACAAAAGATTCCGCTGATCAGATGCTGCTGTGCAGGCAACCGCCATTCATGCGTTTGCTGAGCCCCCGCATTGCTCTGGCTTTTGTGAGCCGCCATGGGGACATTGCTGCATGCCAGCGCCCGCCCCCACACCACGCCTTGCAACTGGCCACAGGACATGGGCAGCTTTGGCTACGTGGACGGCAGCGGCCGCGACCAGGCGCCGTGCAGCAGAGTAGTGCAGCTGTGAACCGCAGTTTGAAAATTTGAAAAGCCATTCAAACCATTCGAACCACTGTTGCCAGTTTTGGGGGCACAACCCAAGGTTTGATCCATCAAAGGCCAACGTGTAATGTACTGTACTGTTACTCTCTCAGTCGGTCTGCAGCAACCAAGGAAAAATGCAAGCTTGTTGATACCGGAAAGGCAGAGCGAGGGCGCAGCCTTTTGGAGCCCCTTGTGCTGGGTGGTCCACTGACCGCATGCAGTAGTGCGGCTCGTGCACACCAACCCCCAAGTGCGGCAGGACTGAGCTGCAGGTCGCCTTGAAAAAATGCCACGCAGGCCAGAGGGGCGAGCTTTGGCGCATTCTAAAACAACATGCAATGATTTTGCACACCCAGGCCACGGACAGCCTGATTGGACACTTGCAGGTGGAATTTGCAAGTCATCCAGGCCGCCTCAAGCAACCAATTCAGTATTCAACACCAACTTATAGCCTGTTCTGCGACACCTGCATCCCTATTCCCCACACCTGCATCCCATTTCTAGTCCGCAGTAAGATTACCGTACTGAGCCCTGCACTGAAAGCCACACCCGCCTGTTTTGCAGTAGCCTAGCGCCCCGCAGGCTTGGCCGCGGGCTTCACCGCAGGCGAGGATTTCGCGGAAGGCTTGGGCAGGGGCTTGGCCGCGGGCTTGGAGGCAGCCGCTGGGGCCGGCGTTGCTGCCGGCTTGGTGACTGCCGCCGCAGTGGGCGCGCCTTGGACCTGTGTGGTTGACCAAGTCGCGCATGTCAAACTTGTTGGATAGCGGTTTAAGCAGCAAGAAATCCTCTGCCATTGGAGAACTCCTCAGCCATGACAGCACACGCGCACTTCTAAATCAGCCACTTGCAGGGTGAAACAGCAGATTTTGAGGTGCATGTGCGCGCATACGCTGCCAACAAGGCGCCGAGCCGGCCGACTCGGCCGGCGTGTATGACATCATCATTACTAAGCACGCACCGTCAGCGTGGTGGACAGGAAGATGAGCGTGTTGTCTGATTTGGGGGACTGACCAAACGCGCCCACCGCCAGCTCGACCACATAGTCGCCCGAAGGCAGCCTGGTGCGGCGGCGGGTTTGGTAGTGTGATTGGTAGTCAGCAACTGGCTTGGTTGGGCCGTCCGTCAGCCTCAAAGCGCAGGAAGGGTTGCCTTTTCAAAGGTCTCTGGGATGCCCAGAGCAGGGCACTCAGAACCCTCCCCCCACCATATGTTCTGCACACTCATTTTGTAGGGAGCTTCCAGACCTCAAAACCTGGCTGTCTGTACAAGCCCTGGTGTGCACCCTGCACCCCCCCCCCCCAAGGGTGCCACTCACTTGCCCACGTCAAACTCCTTCCCGATGCCGGTCTTGACCGACCCCGTTTTGGTGTTTGTCACGCGCCACGCAAACGTCGTGTTGGTGTAGGGCCTGTTGCTCGCGTCCACCACATTTAGGCTCGGGCACGCCAGCCGCGTGTCCCCGTTGGCGGGCGTCGTGAACGGCCCGCACGTGCTGCCGGCCGCGACCCTCGGCAGCGGCGGCTGCGTCGCTTGGCGCGGCGTCGCGCGGACGTTGCTCGTCGCGGTCGCGGCCGCGCCGCTGCGCTTCTCGGTCGCGCGGAACTGGAGCTGGAAGGTGTCCGCGTCAGACAGGTTGAAGCGGGCGACCGCGTCCGTCGACGACGCGACCCTGTTGCCGCTGGCCTTCTGCGACAGCGACCAGCTGTACGTGTAGTTGTTGCGGTCGGCCGGCGGGATGCCCGTCGCGCCCGCGTCGAGGATGACGGTGGACCCCTGGCTCAGCGTGAGGGACGGCAGCCGCAGGCTGGGTAGGTTCGCGCCGCCCCCCGGCCGCGCGCCTGCGCCCGTCCCGGGCGTGACCTGCAGCGTCGCGCGGGCGGTGCTCGACATCGCCCCTTCGTTGATGCTGGCGATGATGGCGAGCGTGTACTCTCCTGGGGGGATGCCGCTCAGATTCACGACGGTCCCTTGGCCCGGCGTAGCAAACCTCCCGTCGGGGTCGATTGTCCACTGCAGGGTGAGGGGGATGTTGTCCGGGCCGACCACGCCCTGGATTACCGCCACCCCGCCGCTGGGGCCGCGCACCACGAGGCCCGGCGGGATGAACGGGCCGCCGTTGGAGCTGCCCCCGACCGTGAAGTTCTTCTTGGCGATGGCGTTGTCGCCGGCCGAGTCGATGGCGAGGAGGCCGACTTGGTAGTCGCCGCCCGGCAGCGACACCACTGCCGTCGAGCCCGTCGTGTTCGTCACCGGCGTCTTGTCGGGCAGGGAGATTACGGCCCACACCCACTGCGTCAGCCTGTTGCCCGGCGACGCCTGGGTGCCAAACGCGTCGAGCGGGACGCTGGCCATGCCGCCCGCCGGGCCGGCCGGGACGTACGAGTTGGGCAGCTGGATGACCGCGATCAGGCCGTCGGAGCGGCCGGCGCCGATGATGATCGTGTTGCTGGCGGTCGACGACAGCCCGGTGCCGTCCGAGACCTTGAGGGTGACGTTGTAGCCGCCGACGGGCAGCGACAGCTGCGCGACTGCGCCAAACGCGGTGAGCAGGAAGTCCGGGGCGGAAGACGCGGGGTTGGTGCGGATCTCCCAGCTGTACTGCTGGACCGGGCGGCCCGGCAGCCCGACAGAGTCGCGGCCGTCCAAGGTGATGGTCGTGTTGCCGTTTTGGTTCTGCACGATGAAGCCCTGGGGGGAGGCGATCTTGGCTTGCAGGGCTGTGTTGGGGGACGTGATGGTGAATGTCTGCTCTGCGGTGTCTGTAAATCCGAGGTTGTCTTGGACCTGTCAGAGTGGATGGAGTATCGTGGGGTTTCCAGTGTTGGCGGTTCAGGGGAGGAGTTGAGGATTGCAGACAGGGTGGTTCTTGATAGGTGGTCGACAGCGAGTCAGGTGGAAATTGCAGGTTGCAGGTTGCAGATTGCAGGTGGCAGGTTGCAGATTGCAGGTGGCAGCCTGCAGATGGCAGATCGCAAATTGCCGATATGTGCAGCATAACGCAGCCTTGTCAGCCCCTGAGCTCCACTTGACGCTCAGTTCAGCCATGCACGGCAATTCAAGCCATTGCCAGCTGCGCCCCAACATACAAGCCCGACATTTTGCACCCCACATGCTGCCTGTCATCCCCCCCCCCCCCCC